CCCCCCCCCCCCCCCCCCTCGGCCTCGCTCGGCTTGCATCGTTCCCTCTTGAATCAACCTCACGCTTGATCCTTCCACCTTCCACCAACTTCCTCTCACTCACTCACTCTCTTCATCTCCTCCATCTCCCACATCTCTTTCATCTCTCTTCCACTCCTCCCCCCTCCCTCTTTTACTTCCATCAACACAATGTCCGGAGAGATCAGGCGGAAGCTCGTCATCGTCGGTGCGTTCTTCTTCATCAACACCAGCACCAACACGACCACCACCACCACCCTCCTCCCTCCCATCTCCCCCGCTCCCTCCTCCCCCCTCTCCCTCACTCATTCTCGCCGCCCCTCGCGTGTTTGTCTTCCTCCCAACCCCGCGCCGTCGTGTCATTCCGACCTCACTCCCTCTCTTACCCATTCACTTCTCCTCCCGCCACCCACCCCCCTTCCCCCTTCCCCCTCCCCCTCCCCCTCCCCCTCCCTCCTCTGCACCACAATGCAACGCTAACTCTCACAGGCGATGGTGCTTGCGGCAAGACGTGTCTGTAAGTTTACACCGCCGACCCCTCGGACCACCCCCCGCCGCCATCTCGCCGCGCATCCACGCTTTCGCCGCCCATTGCAATACTCCTTCCCCTCCGACCCACATCCCATCCCCCCCACCCACCCAGCTGCTAACTAACCCTCAGTCTGATCGTCTTCTCCAAGGGCATGTTCCCTGAGGTGCGTTTGCTGTGCTGCCTGGCGCTGTATCTGCAGCGCTATGCTACGCGCGCCATTACTGATCCGTGCGCCGCCCCTTCCCCACTAACTCGCCCAGGTCTACGTTCCCACCGTCTTTGAGAACTACGTTGCCGATGTCGAGGTTGACGGCAAGAAGGTCGAGCTGGCCCTCTGGGATACCGCTGGCCAGGAGGACTATGAGTGAGTTGCTGCCGTCGTTGCTGCTATGGTTGTCACCATGCCCGACCCGCTCACACGACAGCCGTCTTCGTCCCCTCTCGTACCCCGACTCGCACGTCATCCTGATCTGCTTTGCGATTGACTCGCCCGACTCGCTTGACAATGTTCAAGAAAAGGCAAGTCTTTGTCTTCCGCTGTCTAGACTAACCATCCCAGTGGATTTCCGAGGTTCTCCACTTCTGCCATGGCCTCCCCATTATCCTTGTTGCCTGCAAGAAGGACCTTCGTGACGACCCCAAGACCATCCAGGACCTTGCCCGCATGAACCAGCGCCCTGTTTCCCGCCAGGAGGGTCTTGCCGTCGCCCAGAAGATTGGCGCCCAGGGCTACGTCGAGTGCTCGGCCAAGTCTGGCGACGGTGTCCGTGAGGTCTTCCAGACCGCCACCCGCGCTGCTCTGACCGTGAGTCTCTGTACTTTTTTTTTTTTTTTTTCCACCATCTAACACCAGACCAAGAAGTCCAAGTCGAAGAGCGGCGGCAAGAGCAAGTGTGTTGTGCTCTAGAGGGTTGCAGTGTAGTTTTCTTTATTCGCACAAGTCTTCTCAGTCGTTTTGTAATCCTACCTTCCTCCGCCGCTGCCGCCGCCGCCGCCTCCGCCGCCCACCATGATGCCTCGTTTAACGGCCCGACACTCGACGATACCTTGGGTTTCAAGCCGTGGCATACTCCTCCCCTCACGAGCTACATATCCCCATGTCCTTTGGGGCTCGCGCCCCGACCGATGATACGAGTGACGAGTTCTTGTGACGCTTGCATGTGCATATGGTGGAGAAGAGAGGGGGGCGTGTGTAACGGGGCGATTCACAATGAGCCTTGCTTGCTTCTGGCCCGTGTTGCGTAGCTCGCGACGTCCTTTGCATCGCTGTTGCTATTCTTGACGTTTGAGAGATCGCGAGTCGCCACCGAGATGAGGCTCGTGCATGGCTCGTGCTGATGCGGCAAGTGGGGGTGGGTGGGGCGTAGACAAAGTCACGTGGCACACCCTGGCCGCAGATGACCGACGGAAGCTAACAGGCACGTGTCGCACATCACATCCCTTGGCAGCGGCGATCCAGAACTCTGGGGCCCACGAGTCTCGCTGGATGGACGTGGCTGCCGTTCTCCAGCCTCAGATATCACAACAACCCTCTCATCTCCATCTCATCACTCGACATGGCCGACTCGGGCCCCTCCACACCAGCAGCGGCAGCCCAGCCGTCCGCGCACTCCCCGCCACGCCCAGTATCTCCACTTGCACCCGAGGCCACGTCCACAACATCTCCTGAGCCGTCCACCAGCTCGGCGCTCGCAGCCAAAGGAGATCCGGCGAGCGCAGACCCAACATTGACAACCTCCTCCCCACTACAACAGTCGCCAAAGACGCCGGACCCGGAGATTTCCCCGGCGCACTCCCCAGTCGAGACCGCCATCGTCGCGCGCACGCCAACACCTCCTACCTCCGCTCCCGCTTCGTCCTCCCACCCCTCCCCCACTTCAACCGATACGCCCGCCCGGCCCACCGACGCCGACACCCCCACCCCGCGCGCCGACCTCCCGACCCCCACACCACCCGCCGAAACCCCCGCGCCCCAACGCACAGCCACGCCGCCCGCGCCCGCCAAGCCGCCGGCCCCGGCCGTGCTCGCGCCCACGCCCGGCGAGACGCCAGGCCCGAGCGACACGCCCGCCCCCTCCGCGCCGGCGCCCCCAGCCCTGCGTGTGCGCGCCGACCTTGCCGAGTTCGATCCGTACGACACGCCCGCGCCCGCCCGACCAGCGCGGCCAGGCGAGGGGCGGGACGAGAACAGCGGGCGGAGGGAGGCTGGGGAGGGGCGGGACGGGCGGGGCGGGCAGCCCGAGAGCGAGCGGAGCGACCATCGCCGCGAGCGGGAGCGGCGGGAGGACGCTCGGCAGGAGGACGCGCCGCGGCGACGCAGCACGCCGCGCCCCGAAGAGCCGGCGTTCAACTTTGCCGGGTTCCTCAAGGACTTGCGGGCCAAGTCGGCTGATCCCGTCGCGCGATATTTGAAGAGGTAGGCTTTTGCGAGTGCGAGAGGCGAGAAAGGAGAGGGAAGAGGGGGGGCTGATTCCAGCTTCCTAACGAACTTTGCCAAAAAGCCGTTTACGGTCAACGAGCAGATCAAGCTCATCCACGACTTCCTCGCTTTTATCGAGGGCAAGATGCGTGCGGTCGAGCCGTGGAAGTCGCAGAGCGAGGCCGAGTTCGACAACGCCCTCGAGGCGATGGAGAAACTGGTTATGAACCGGTTATACCCTTAGTGAGTGTGGCGTGTGGTCGTGTGGTGGACGTATTCCGCCACAATGACCATCTGCCGCGACCATCGCCTCCCGCGTCGTGCTGATCGCAGCACATTCACACCTCAGCTGCACGACGGCCACCCAATAACGACCGACGACCTCGAGCGCGATGCCGTGTTCGCGCAGCGTGTCCGCCTCTTTGGCTGGGTGCAGGAGAAGCACCTCGACGTGCCCGAAGGCGAGGCCGCGCAGGGGTTCCTTGGATTTGCTGAGCAGGGTCAGACCAGCGCGTCCGGCCGCAGCTGACGCCAGAACTGCTCAAGATCAACCACTACAAGGCGCCACGAGACAAGATGATCTGCATACTGAACTGCTGCAAGGTCATCTTTGGATTGATCCGGCACGCGATGGGCAACGAGGCGGGCGCAGACGCCTTTGTGCCTATCCTCATCTTTGTCGTGCTACGCGCGAGTCCAGATTGCATGCTGTCCAACGTCGAGTGAGGTGGCCCGCTAGCGAAGCTGACGCCAGGTACATCCAGCGCTTCCGCAATCCGGAGAAGCTGCAGGGCGAGGCGGGATACTACCTATCGAGTCTACAAGGCGCGATCGCATTCATCGAGACGATGGACGCATCCAGCCTCTCGAACATCACGCAAGAAGAGTTCGAGAACAAGGTCGAGAGGGCGATCCAAGAGCTGCCCGAGTCTCCGTCGTCGCCGCGCGCGCGCGCCGCGCTCCCGACAAACGACATGTCCCCCTTCGCAACTTCGCCCGGCGAAGAGCAGGCGCAGCAGCTCGCGCTGCCCGCGAGCGCGGCCGCGCTCGACGGCACAAAGCGCTTTTTCCAACGCACAGGCGACGCAGCGAAGGAGGCCGTGTCGCGCCCCCTCAGCGCCATCTCCAAGATCCTCGAGAACATGCAGCAGCAGGGGTACGACAGCGAGAGCGGGGACGAGGACGGCGAGCGCGAGGCGGACCGCGGCGCGCTCGCGACGCCGTCGTGCCCGCCCCAGCCGCAGCCGCCGAGCCGGCTGCTCGCGCAGCTCGGGATATCGCCCGCACCGTCCGAGGGGTGCGTCCGTGTGTCGTGGGGGCTGACGATAGCGTGTCGCGCGAGCCGACGCCGCAGCCGTTTCCGCAGCCCGTGTTCCAGCAGTATCCGGGACAGCAGTACCCGGGACAGCAATATGCGGGACAGCAGTATCCCGGGCAGCAGCAGCAGTATCTTGGTCAACAACAAATCCAGCAGGGGCAGCACCCCGGCCAGCAGCAGCAGCAACACCCTAGTCAACAGCAGCAATATGCCGGCCAGCAGGGACAGTACCCCCACCCCCCGCCGCCGGGATACGGCGAGCCGTACCGCGACAACATGCAGAACACGTTGGAGGCGAGCCACGCCGAGTATGCGCGCGAGCAGGCGCGCGCGGCCAACGTGCTCACCCTCCACCAGATGTTCCCGGACCTGGACGAGGAGATCGTCGAGGCCGTGCTGTACTCGTGCGGCGAGGACTTGGGCGTCACGATCGACCGGTGAGGCACGGTGGTGTGTGTGCTGACGCTAGGTTGTTGGAGATGTAGCCCCATGGCCGGAGACACTGGTCGGAGATGCCACGGACACGACCCCGGATATGCCGGCACAATATACAATATGCATGCGCTCTAAACGGATGAAACTAGAGAAGCACCTGGTTGTAGGCGTTCTTCGGCAAGTTCTTGTTCGGGAGGACGATGCACGAGCGGATATGCGTCTCGGGCGCAACATGCACGTCGGACGCAAGCACGCTCACGCTAATCTGGCCCTTTACGTCGCTGACGGGCTCGGGCTCGCCGTCGACGCGCGCCCACTGCCCCAGCCGCGAGTTGGAGCCCACGATCGAGTTGAGCACGACCGCATGCTTGTCGATCACGCTGTTGTCGAGCACGATGGCGTTGGCGATGCGCGCGCCCTCGCCCACGACGACGTTGGGCCCGATCGTCGCGTTCGGCCCGATCTTGGCGCTCCCGTCGATGTGCGCGCTCCCGTCGATGTATACCGGCTCGATGATCGCACCGCCCGCGCGCGCAAGCAGCTCGGGCCGCGAACGTTGGAACTGCTTCAAGTACAGTCCCGAGGCGGTGACGGCGCTCGCGGCCGTCTTGATTTGGCGCCAGAAGTCGCGCGTCTCGCACACGTACATCTTGCCTGTGCCGGCCAGGGGCGCGATCACGTCCTGCTCCAGCTGCAGCGTTTCGTCGAGCTCGATGAGTGGGTTGTGGCTGGGGTCAGCCGAGCCTGCGGAGTCGAGCTGCGCAGCAGCGAGGCGAGGCGGGGCGGGGCGGGGCGGGGCGAGGCGAGGCGGGGCGAGGCAAGCCGGTGGGCGGTGTGCACCAGTTTGGTCCCTCGACGAGCAACCTCCACAAGGAGACCACCAAGCCACCCTGCAAGCCAACCTCTACGCCAACCTCTACGCCAACCTCTACGCCAACCTCTACGCCCACCTCTACACCAACTCACGCAGCACACTCCGTCTTCTTGTCCATCGCAACGCGGATCTCGTCAAACACGCTCTTGTCGAACAAGTACACGCCGCCGTTGACCGTGTTCGAGATCCAGCTCTCGGGCTTCTCGACGTAGTGCAGCATCTGCTTGGTCTCGGGGTCCGAGACGATGCAGCCGTACCGCGTCGCCGTGTCCTTTGGCACATTAACGCCGAGGATGGTGCCGACGCCGCGATGCGCGCTGTGCTTGGCCAGCAGCTCGGTGAAGGGGAACGAGCTGCAGATGTCGATGTTGCAGATGAAGATGTGTTGCGGGAGGGGCGTGCGGAGGATGAGGTCGCGGACTGGGGTTAGTTTGGAGTTTCGGGGACGGGGTGGACACGGGGGAGGGCGGCACACTTCATTCGCCAACTGCGGACAAGAGCGCGTCGATCATGTCCAATGTCCAACGTGTAACTCGACACCGCGTCGTACTTCGCTCCTCTTACATTCCCCACCGTCCTCTCGCGCCACGTCTCGCTCCAACCCCACACGCCTCGATCTTCCCCCTCCGCCGCGTCGAGCACACCTCCACTTACAGTGGTACAGCCCGCCGGCAGTCCCGAGCGACCGGTACTCGCGCATATACGAGATGCGGATGTTGGGAAACTCGCGCTGCGACTCGCGCACGAATGGCGCCATGACGCTGTCCTCGTAAAAGCCGATCATGATAATGTCCGTGAGACCCGGCACCTGGGCGAGGGCGTTGAGGGGGTGCCATACCATGGGCTGGGGTTAGCGCCAGCTGTGTCAGTTGTGTCGGCGGGACACACCTTGCCGCCGATGGGGAGGAGGGGCTTGGGGCCTGCTGTCAGCGGAGCGGAGGAGGCCGAGTACTCACAGTCGAGCGTCAGCGGACGCATGCGCGTGCCCTTCGAGGGGCCGCCGACGAGGATGACGCCCTTTGTGACTGTGTTTGCCATGGTGTAGAGTATCAAAGAGATCAGACAAGTTGGCCGTTGGAGATGTCGAACGTGGCAGGCAGGTCGGATGCCGATCAGCGCAGGGTCGGTTCCTGTGCCGGGCAAGATGGGAGCATGGGAGGGTATGGAGGGATTAGGTTTGGGGGGAGAGACGATTAGACTTTTGTTATGCGGTCAGGGGCGGTGAATTCATGCCACGTGGAGTGAATAGGCCAAGCGGACGGAGCGGACCTCTGCGCCGCTGTTGGCGGGACCATGGCGGGGACGAGATACTCGGTAGCGAGCGCGGTGAGGCTGTCAGGAAACAGGCAGATTGTAAATGTCAGCTGCAGCGATGTTTCATTAGATAGGTCGATTGGAAGTGAACGGTGCGATGCCGGAAACGTTGTCTGTGCATGCTGCGACTGGCCAGTGGTGAAGAGCGCTGAGTGAGCCGCCGACGTCAGCGGAGATGACTGTCGAGTACTGTCGCTTGCCGCAGCAAGCCAAGCGGCGCCGTTGCCTGCCGCCTGCGGCGCGGGTGGCAGCCCCGCGCCTCGATGCCACAACCGGCCACATCACATGCCACAGGGCGCGCGGCGTGATCGTGTTCCAGTTGTCTTGTAGGACATGCATCAGCTGGGCAGCCGGGCCATGCAACAGGCAACAAATGGATGACCATCTGATGCACAGAGACCCCTCGTGCAACATGGAGAGGATCTAAACAAGCAGCAGCGAGCAACGGAGCAACGGAGTGAGTCGGACCGCGGACTAACGAGAAAGAGTGCGCGGGTGCACAGACCAACGCTCACAACCGCGACAACCGTGCCTCTAAAAGCCCTGACCCCCCTGACCCCTAGCTCCTCCTTCTGCAGGCTGCAGGCTGTGACGTCTCGTCGCGTGGCTCCCCCCCCCCGGGGCTGGCTCCCACCCCAGCTGACCACGCAACCCACCTTCCCTCACACACTCCTCACTCCTCCCACCGCACGGCTCTCCCTCTCTCTCTCTCTCCTCTTACTCCTCCTCCTCTCTCTTCCCACCAACTCGCATCTACTCATCCTCATCCTCATCCTCCTACTCCTACTCTCTCTCTCTCTCTCTTTCTTGCACTACTGCTCGTCGCTATCATACTCTCAGCTCACATCCACATCCGCTTCTCACACAACATTCTTGCTTGCTGTCTCCCTCTTCCTCTCCTCCCTCTCCCACCCCCCAAGTCCTCGATCAAGCCTAGGCCACTTGAACTTGCTTGGACTACACCCCATCAACAACAATGGCCCTATTCGTCACTGCAATCCACACCTTTGTGGCAGAGCATGCAGACGAACTCGAGTTTCAAGCAGGCGACAAGATTGAAGTCTTGGAACGAGACGAAGCCTTCGGTGATGGATGGTGGAAGGTGCGTCAACATTTCACACACCCCCAGCCGCTTGTGCCGCCGGAGTCGAACAAAATCCTGCTATCCTTGCTGCCTGCTGCAACAATGCGCAATCGCAACCGAGCAATTGGTGGCCTCCATGAACAAATCGCTGACGCTCCTCCAGGGCCGTAACACCAAGGGCGACGAGGGTCTGTTCCCCGCAACTTACATCTCCGAGGATCCAAATGCTGTGCCCGCCGGCGTGCCAAAGTCTGATGCTCCTCTAAACGGGGGCGCAGACGACGATGCTCCGGCAACGCCCGTCGTGGCCGCTTCCGGAGCACCCACCTCTCAGCAAAACAGCCTCGCATCCCCTTTCACACCAGGCGCAGGGGCAGCCGGAGCGGATCGCAGTCTTGAAAAGGATAACCGCAATAGCCTGCTCGATGTGACTGGCGCGCCTCGCGGCGCAGCCCTCGCCTCCTCGGCCGGCATGAGCTCGGGCAACAACGTCATGGACAGCACTATCGGCGAAGTCCAGGAAGCGATTGACACCATGGGTGCCCCTTCACCCGCTCGCACACCCGAGGCGCCCGTCCAGAAGGGTTACCAGCTCAAAGACCCTCAGGCGGTAGCACGCGAGGACGACGACGACGTTTCTGATGGCGAGGGCGCCATCGGAATCAACTCGGACGCGCGCGCCCGTCTCGCTGCCCAGGCCAAGCTTGCTAACGAGGAGCGCGACCGCCAGCACCAGCGCGAGAGTGGCGGTGTTGCCGACCTCATATACTCGGACGAGAGTGATGAGGACGAGGAGGGATCCGCCGGCTCTCGCCGTGCTTCCCGCGGATACCGTGGCCTCTCGCTTAATGGCACTCACTCTGCCCAAACAACCTCGACAACCACGCCCATTGCCGAGCGCATCGAGGACGAGGACAGGGATGAGTCTCTGCAGTCGCAGTCTTTGGCTGCTGCAGCTGTGCCAGCGGTCATTCCTCCCGACGCTCCTGCTACCTCGTTCCCGGCCTCATCTACCTCTCCTCAGCCCAAACCTGCCGCGATGTGGAGCCCAGTGCCATACCCGCCTGTCTCGCAGCTTGCCCCCCAGCAGCAGCAGCAGCGGGAGCTGCCCCCACAGAATGTATCTACTGCCGCTCCTACGGCTGGAGTTAAGGCCCCTTCTCCTCAGCCCGTAGCCCAGGCGCCGGGATCGGTCCTTCCTGCTGCCCCTGCGGCGGAGGCTTCTCACGCTTCTTCAACCCTTCCCTTGGCAGCCGCCGGAGCTGGCGCCGCCGCCCTTGCGGGAGTCGGTGCTGTCGCACTTGCATCTGGATCTGGGCCATCGCCGCAGGCCCAACAGTCTGCCCTTTCAGGATCGTCACCGAACCTCGTGTCCGGCGCCACTACCATGCCGGAACAGGTCGCGCCTTCGCCTGGTCGGAGAACCTCGTCGCTGCCTCGCGGATCACCGCTCCTGAGCACGTCCAGCCTCCCCACCTCTTCGCCGGGTTCGCAACCGGTGGCTCTCCCCGCTGGCGCTGCTCCTCCCAGCAACACCACGCCGCGCATGGACCAGCAGGCACAGCTTTTGCCCGCTCTTCCCATCTCATCACCTGCCGCCAACCCTGCTGTCGCTGCTGCCGGTGTCCCTGCAATGACCAGCCCCGCGGCTTCGTCCCCGGGCGGACTCGTTTCTCCGGGCACCGCCGCTCGCATGCCTGCTAAGCCGCCAATGACTTGGACCGTCGATGAAGTCGTGGAGTGGGCCCGCTCGCGCGGCTTTGACGACGGCGTCTGTAGCAAGTTTGTGGAGCAGGACATTACCGGCGACGTTCTTCTTGAGCTCGACGCCAACCTACTGAAAGAGCTCGACATTCCACAGCTCGGCAAGCGTCTCCGCATCGCCGCGGCCATCAACGAGCTCCGCCGCCCCCCTTCTGCTGTCTCGAACAAGTCGTCGCAGCCGCAGACGCAGACCACATCTCCCGCGCCGCCTTCCACCGCGGTCATGCCCGACTCTCAGAACCTGACCCAGACGCCGTCGGCTCCAGTGCAGACGCACTCGCAGACTCCGTCGCAGTCCTCGAGCATTCGCGGACTTCCAATGGCTGCGCCTGCGTTCATCAGCCAGGCTCCACTGTCTACGCCCCCTCTCGGCACCACTTCCCCCGTCATCGACGACCACCACAGCGCATGGTCGCACGGCCGCAAGGTTAGCGTCACGCCTACGACCCAGTCAATCGACGAATCTAAGGCTATCGACGGCCCCATCGTCACCAACGGTCACAGTCACAGTCAGTCGGCGTCCATCTCCCACCCGCCGTCATCGATCAATGCGTCCTCGCACTCGGCGTCTCGCTCGACTTCGTCGATACCCTCTCCCGCGGCTACCTCTTCGACGACTACGGCCATAGGCACCAAGGAGAGCTTGATCAAGCGCGAGTCCAATAGCTCGCTGACTGGCCACAAGAAAAAGGGCAGCGTCGACAAGACTGACCGCTTGAGCTTCTTTGGCCGCAACCGCAAAGCTCCCCCTGCGGCGGGCTCGGGCAATGCCTCGCCCGTCAGCGCCGACCGCAGCGCCTCGTCGCGCATGGCCTTCAGCGGCGGCCAGAAGCCTGCGATGCAGACCATGACGACCGACAAGCCCGACGGTGTTGCGTCAACGCCCAGCGCGGGTGTCGGCGCCGCTCTGCGCCAGATCGGCAAGCCCGACAAGGTTGGTTACCTTAAGAAGCGTGGCGAGCGTTACAACACCTGGAAGACGCGCTACTTTGTTCTCAAGGGCTCTCACTTGTACTACCTCAAGGGCGAGAATGAGGACCGGGTTAAGGGCCACATTGATCTTAAGGGTCACCGCATCATTGTTGACGAGAACACGAACCCCGGTAACTATGGCTTCCGTCTCGTTGGCCCTGGCAGCGACAACAAACCGCACTTCTTCTCGTCGTCGGACCAGGCCCAGGTCCGCGACTGGATGAAGTCACTCATGAAGGCGACGATTGCACGCGACTACACTGTGCCCGTGACATCGTCGTGCAACATCCCCACCATCCCCCTGGCAGAGGCGCAGGCGCTTCAGCCCCGTCCCCCGAGCCCCGCACAGCGCGAGGCGACGCAGCGCGCGACGCGCCGCGAAAATGTCAACCAGCTCACGCCTCGTGATGCTAGTGTCCTTGTGAGTTTGCAAGGAGAAGCGCAAGTATGCTGACATCAGATGAGCCTTGACACCTCTGGCAGCGGCCGGAGAATGACGAGCCATGGTAGCACTCTCCAGCCTTCGCCGTCGCGGCCTGACCGGGACACGCGCCGTCCATCGACGGGCAAGGAGACGATTATGAACCGACCGAGCATGGCGATCAGCGACAGGCGGAGCGTGAGTAACAGCTATTTTTGGCCGTCTCTGACCCCAGGTTACGTCCTATTACGGCCAGCCGGAGACGGAGGAGCAGGCCGAGCTGCTCAAGTGGGTCAACGAGACGCTACCGCCGCAATACCCGCGTGCGGCCCACTTCCCGAGCTCGTTCATGTCGGGCGAGGTCATCTTGCTGCTCGTCAAGCATTTGTCGGGCATTGAGCCGAACCCGCCCGTGCCGTCATCGGCCTTTGCGCCTGATGCGACGGGCCTGCCCAACGTCGAGGGGTTGCTGGCGATGGGCGAGACGGTGATCGACGCCGGGGTCGACAGCGCTGGCGTGAGTCTAAACGAGATTCGCGCGGGCGATGTTCAGGCGATCACACACCTGCTGGAGACTGTGCGTTCGTGGGCACGGCAGAAGGGTTATGCTTAGGCAAAATTCTCAAATCACGACTACTAGAGGTGTATCTAACGAGAGGGGGGGGGGGGGGGGGTGAGAGTAGATGAGCGAAAGAGAAACCGTGGTATAATACAATGCTGCTGCATTATGCAATCTATGTCTGCCTCGTAGAAGAGGGGGAGTGGTGGAGGGTACTGTAGGGGAGGGGAGTATGAGGAGGAGTAAGAGTGGGGAATGATTAGAGTTGATGTTGAGTTGTGGTGGGGAGGTGACGGGATTGTGGTCGGCATGGTCGGTGAAAGTCGAGGAGTCGTCGTGGATACAAGGGTTTCCGGGATCAAGTTTAAAAGTGTGGAAAGGAGACTTGAAGGAGGTGTTTCAGGCGAAATCCATCCGCTCCAGGCACGCAAAGGAGGAGTGCGTGTGGTGCGTGTCTCAGGTTGTCAGCGTGCAGCGTGCACACTGGGTATCAGCCACGTGGCCATGTATCTATAATACGCTCATACAATCTCATGCTCAAGCCTTTGGTTATTACTGTTGTATATGCACCACCATGTCGTGTCCATCGTTGGTACAACCAGGACGGCCACGGGATAGATTCGGTCGTGCTCGCAACATTTGGCCGCCCGCGATACTCCGAGCCTCCAAATTCCTATGTAGTAGACAAGCGAACAAGAAAGATAAGCTCTGGCTCTGGATGCAGGCACCGTCGCCGTCACCGAGTTTCCCGGGCGGCCGGGCGGCGGTCCAAAGGTCGCGAGGTCGGGAGCATGGCGTCGATCGACATCCCTCTCCGCGTGGCCGCCACTGAGATCCCCGAACACCGTGCTCGCTGTGCTCGCTGCGCTCGCTGCGCGTACTGTAGACCTGTGGGTCAGATGATCATGAGCTCATGAGGGCCATGGGCTGCGCTCAATTGCATTACTTGACATCCATGGACGGGTCAAAGAGAAAGGAGGCTGGCATAAATTGCCCGGGTCGCGGGGCGCGGGGCGGCTCCTCCTGACCTCTGATCATTTTGGACCCTTTCTGATCCCCCTCTTGAATCCCCTCTGATCGCGCGCTCTTGGCGCGCCTCCCCTCTCGCGCCTCTCTGCACGCCCTGAACATGCAGCCCTGCCTCCTTGGCCCTCGCACCTTGCTCCATGCCGCACCTCGCCTTCCCTTTCCC